CAGTTTATATTTTGCATAAAAATCCACAGTCTAGATATAATACATAGTTTATAATGTATAATACTGTGTATGATATAATCCATATAGTTTATATTGTATAATACTGTACACTATAAACGCTTTCTTCTGATATTTTCGTCTGCACTTTCAAACTTCCTTTTGAATAATCATCTCGCTGTTAATTCAAATTTGAAATTAAAAACTTACGTTTCAGTATTTATGACAAGAGGAATTGTGTCATAAACAGTCTCAGATGTGTATAAGAGACAGCATAAATACTGAAAAACGTAAGTTTTTAATTTCAAATTTGAATTAACAGCGAGATGATTATTCAAAAGGAAGTTTGAAAGTGCAGACGAAAATATCAGAAGAAAGCGTTTATAGTGTACAGTATTATACAATATAAACTATATGGATTATATCATACACAGTATTATACCTGTCTCTTATACACATCTAGATGTGTATAAGAGACAGCATAAATACTGAAAAACGTAAGTTTTTAATTTCAAATTTGAATTAACAGCGAGATGATTATTCAAAAGGAAGTTTGAAAGTGCAGACGAAAATATCAGAAGAAAGCGTTTATAGTGTACAGTATTATACAATATAAACTATATGGATTATATCATACACAGTATTATACCTGTCTCTTATACACATCTAGATGTGTATAAGAGACAGCATAAATACTGAAAAACGTAAGTTTTTAATTTCAAATTTGAATTAACAGCGAGATGATTATTCAAAAGGAAGTTTGAAAGTGCAGACGAAAATATCAGAAGAAAGCGTTTATAGTGTACAGTATTATACAATATAAACTATATGGATTATATCATACACAGTATTATACCTGTCTCTTATACACATCTAGATGTGTATAAGAGACAGCATAAATACTGAAAAACGTAAGTTTTTAATTTCAAATTTGAATTAACAGCGAGATGATTATTCAAAAGGAAGTTTGAAAGTGCAGACGAAAATATCAGAAGAAAGCGTTTATAGTGTACAGTATTATACAATATAAACTATATGGATTATATCATACACAGTATTATACCTGTCTCTTATACACATCTAGATGTGTATAAGAGACAGCATAAATACTGAAAAACGTAAGTTTTTAATTTCAAATTTGAAATTAAAAACTTACGTTTCAGTATTTATGACAAGAGGAATTGTGTCATAAACAATCTCTACGTTTTATTTGATTTATATAAACGTTAGAGAAGCTATAAATGTAAATGTAACATCCGTAGTTTACATCGGGAAAATTTAAAACATAAAGTCATGAAAATCATGAAATATAAAGTCACAACATAACGTATTAATACGAGCACAGAATGGGGTTGAAGAAACCCCTTTGTCACAATTTTTGAAATGATCGTGAAAAGACTATGTTACGATTCATAAAATTATAAAGGTAATTATAAAGGTAAAGTAATGTTATTACCGTCATAAATGATAGTAATGAACGTTTTAATATTCGCACATACTTTTACGTTCCACTATTATATCTCTGTAAAATAATAAACCCATTATTCTCGAACATCTGCACAGAGAAAAAGGAGAAAATTTATAAATCGTACTAAATTCTTCGACTCTTTATACGAACTTCATTTCTTATTATTCAACAGCAGATTTTGTGCATTTGTGAGGAAAATTAATAGGTCAAATACGAAACTGTAGGGACATTGGAAGTATTTAAGGATATTGTTCTATTATTTTCAACTTATTATCATTATTACGAGAAGAAAGATATTATATTATCCAACTTATGTTTTTTACAATTACTTAAACAATTTTAAAAGATATAAAGATAATATAATAATAATAAATAAAGATAATATAATAGACATAAAGATCCGTATAGTTTATTATTACAGTGGGAGTCACATATTTCCTTATGGACACAGGCATTTTTAATCTTTTATCCTACTTTATATTCCACTTAAAATAAATTACTTGTTTATATTATACCCACGAATAATACAACCAATCTTTTATTTTTAATATTATTAATATCATCTGTAGTCATAAAATTTGGACTACGATTTGAGCTTTACAATACCTTTATACGTATTTGTCTTATCCCACACAGCGTTTTCTTTCATTCTCTCTTTCTCACTCTCTTCAGTTAAAACCTAAAACTGAACTATAGAGTCGAATCTCGATAACTCGGACCTCGAGTTAAAACTCGAAAACTTGTATAAGACGAAAATCACTAATTTACAAGTATCGAGCAAGATTTTTTAATATACATTTATATTAAATGACATCTTTAAACATTTTGAAAAGCTTGGAAATAGTATTTCGCAGCTGCTTCTTTTTTAATAATTACGATACCACATCGTGAAATGGAATTAACTGATTGAATTCCCGTGTTTCTCTGATAGTATTGAATAAATCCGTGATACCTTTCGGCTTTTACCTTTGTATTTTATTACCGACACACCGCTATCTTTCCATTTATGGAACATACGAATGTTTGAAATGCAAGTAAAAAAGCATATTAGTAAAAATTCATCGTATTATTACTTTCGCTAGAAGGAATATTTCGCTTAGGAAATCTATTCCTTATTAAAGAGTTCATGGAAATAAGAATTTGCGTACTTCAAGATCTTCAGTCTAGTTATCAACATATGACTATCAATTAAAAACAATTCTTGTAATTCAATTATTTCTACCAAAAGTGCTTGACTCTTATGCCTTGGGTCGACTGTCCGGTACATTCGTTCATGCATCCAGTTTTTAACAAATTCTCTATGCAAAATGAAAATGTTCTTAATGACTGGCAACGAAACCTAAACAGGTAAAAATTACATTTATCTTTCAATGGTTTTAGTAAGTTTAGAATAATTCAAGATATACTCTTATTACATTCCTTCAATCTCTGGCTGCTGTTTTAAGTTTTTTCTTACTCATTTTTTGCCATAAATGCGTAAAAACCGTAGTCTACTTGGAACGTCTAAATATACATATAAAGTAATTCTAAACGCCTGCAAAGAAATACCGCATCAATGCAATTCACGTTCATACATCCGCAAACTGAACGTGCGACCTTGAATAGCCTTATAGAATGTTCATTATATCTTTTGTCAGCTCGGCGCCTCACGTAGCATTTATCGGATCGAGATCAGATAAACTTCCTTTCATCCGTGGACATAATTTCGAATCATTGTTCCTCCGTTTGTTAAAGGTACGTGTGCGCAGCACGTCGATCGATTCTTTTCAGGTACGAGAGGATTCTTTTGTACTGCTGTACTTATTTAACGAAATCGGTTTAAACGTTCTTGAACGGTTCTTACAGTCATTGTTTGTTCGTAATGCGGCGATATTTCAACGTTAATGTCTACTGCAAATCGATCGGCTTTAGAGATTCGGTGAATTACTCGATCAGTTTAAAACATCCGTTTTAACGTGGCCGTAAAGCGTTATCCGTTGTTTTATTAACATTTATATTTAACATTTATAAAAAAATATTAACATTTATCTACGATTTAAACAACATTTGTTGAGTTAATTTGAACTTGTACTATACTACAACTCATGCTTATACTTCAGATACGAGCATCAAAATGTCTTACTTAGTATAAAAAAATTACGAATTTTATCTTATCATCAAATAAATCAAGCAATGTTGATGAATAAATGGTATCGCCGAGATTATTGTATGATGAAACACACGCGTGGTACAACATGACAATCATGGAATATTCTCTGATTAAGATCAGACAAATACATCCATTTGAAGGAGTCTGAGCATCATCATGTTACAATTAATAAACAAACAATTAATAGAGCACTTTCAGGTTTGAAATGAAGTAGATACAGAAAGTTAGAATCAAGTGTTTCCTGGAAACAAAATGTGATAACTGATAAAAATAAAAATAATAATTTTCTTTCTATCCGTAATGTTATATTTCTCTTTATGTTTTTACAGACACTTAGCCTCCATTATTTCACTTCATATTCGTAACCTTGAAATACACGATATACACATATAAACTGTGCTAACTGTACGGCTTTATTTTATATCGGTTCGCTTCCTTTTTAGTAACTTTAGATTAAATTTAATTAAATGAATACTAAGTTTACTAAATTAAATAATCGCTAAATTTTTTTTTATAATTCTTATATTATTCTGATGTATTTATTTTCTATTTCATGTTGTCATCCTTTTCATTTAAATGATACACCGTCCAATGATGACAATTAAAAACAAGCTGAAGAGAAATTTAGATAGAAACATTAAAAAATTATAATAACAAACTATTGAATAGTCATTAATTCTATAATTACACTATTACACTATTAATGTGCTATTTGTGCAAATGTGCTAGCTGTCTAAATACTTATGGTCACTACTCACTAGCGTGCATGCCATTATGCAGGGTTGACCAGTAAGAGTTAGCACTTGAATGTCTCTGTTATTTCTGGAGGTATGAAGAAACTTTATGAACAGAAGTATTTCAGTATAGGGTGGTCTATAATACGGGGATAAGAATTTTTTTCTCGCAGCTGGAGAAGTTTCGGAGATTCCAAGATCATCTTTCCCTTTTTAAATAGGATCATGTATCTTTTTTGTGCATTTGTTTATGCAGCTATAAAAACAGTATTCTATAAAAAAAAAGTATCGCATCACGCTGCTGTTACTTACTGGACCACACTGGATACATTAGAGAGGTCTTGTCACTATTATATCGACGGGAACCTAAACGTTCTTTTTATGTTATATTATCTTTGTGCCAGACACACTTTTTTATCTGTTTGTTAAGTATGCAATTAAAAATAGTTTGTGCACGTTATTTAAGGCGTTGTCGTGGACACCGTCTGCCGGTCGTTGCTCTATCGACTTTTATTAAATTCACAACCCCTTTCACAGAAAAACAACCACGAAGCGTTACTGAGCCGACACCATGTTTAACAGCTCACTGAATATTTCGGATGCTGGAGCGGTTCGGCGATTTACACGACACTCTGCTTCTTTCCTTTTTGTTCCGTAGCTCGAATTTCAACTCGTCAGACCATGTGATACATTTCCCATATGGGGCCCTTTTTGTTCGTTAGCTTGCAAACAGTTTTTGTATTTTTAAGAGACGCGGAAGGCTTCCCTTTCGGCGCCGATTTCCCTGTTCGAGCAGAAACATATCCCGGTTCCTGAATCTGTAATGTTAGTTTTAATAGTTGCACGTTTTTCGATGTTCATCGTATTTCGTCTAAAATTCTGCTAGCCAAACGTGTTCATTGCATTAACTGCTCGACTAGCTACACCCATCGTAAAATAGTGTTGAGTTTTAATAATTAACGGGATTGTTTTTTTTTATTATCAATATTCAATATTATATTTATTATTAATATGATCTGTACTGTATTTATTATCGATATTCAATACTATCAATATTGTATTCGTTATCAACATTAATTATTATATTCGATCTCCATTATTGCTGTGTATTGTTAAGTAAAATCTACTTTTCTGTCGTAAAATGTTTATATTCTGCACTTTTACGTGCGACATCTTTTCTCTGCTCTGCTTTACGGAAAGAATCTGTGACTTCCGCTTCCTTTCTTTTTACGAGTGATTTTAAGCAGTTTTATAATCTTAACCAACGTATTTTTGTGAAGTTGCTTCTAGCATTCCGAGTGTTTAATGAAAATGGTGTGTTACGTTTAGGGTTCCTTTGTATTCTGAGATAATACTTATGGTCAACATAATTCTATTATTTCGTGATATTATTTTCCAGATCATTGCATCAATGCTTCGTAGATACTTGTTTTATGTCAATTTATTAACAGAATGTATTGCATAGCCTGTATTAAAGTAATTTCTATGATACGATGGATGCTCTCTGAGAGCAGAGATTGCAGCTAGATTATGGGAAAAAGAATGAATCATTTCAGAAGTGTAATTTCAAGTTATCGTTGCTAAGAGACTTAATCAGGATAAAAAGAAGTGTTCAGATCAGTCGAGTACACTGCTTTTTTGTGATAAACGTGATATAGTTCGCGCTGCTTTCAATCCCACTAAATTATTGACACAAATGAAGAGGGAGTGTCGATCGAACGTTTCGGAAAGTATGATCGGCAGGTGTATTGCGGGATCACAGTATTATTCTAAGAGCAGAAACAGTATCTCCCGGTATTAAAGGTTGAAACATGCAGACGAAGAAGCAAGATTCTTTTGTCCATGCAAACCCGAATAGAAACTCGCAGAGAGATAGAAGCAATTTCGTATAGCGAAGAGAAAAGAATATTGCACCTTTTCTGTAGTTTTCATTTCGAGCAAACTGATCGGCAGACTGCAGATTTTATATGATAAAAATAACTAGATAAAATACTGAAGTGTAAACGTATTAGAAAAATTTAAACACGTCTTCATTTTAATTTGTTGTTAAAATTATCAAACGGAGAGATACGTTTCTACTTAATTCCGGTTACTTAAATTGAATTAGAAAATGTTTATTCCGCATAAAGATTCGCAATCTATCGATCAGCGTTCGCTATATAGATTTGAAACCATATTGGGCAAATCAGAACGATGTAAATTTCATTTTCATGTAGGACATAAGTCAGCCCACCTTTTGCAGTCTTAGCACGCGGCTGAATTATTTAAGAAGCTTAAAATAACCTTATTCGACCTTCCCAATATACGAGAAATTTCTCTAACACTAATTCATCCCTGCTTGCTAAAATTACACCTTTCTCTCCGCCGCTTAAACATTTTCCACCGTGTCATTGATTAAAATAAACTTTGACGTTATCCATTTGCAGCCTAAATTATATGTATTATATATTATGTATATTTTTATTGTATAAAAAAGTTTATCGAATAATCTTCTCGATTATGAAGGAGAATCATCGGAACAAAATATTTTCAAATCATTGTGTTTCAGAATGAATTTAGATCAAAAAACATAATAAATCGGTATCACAGTTTTGAAATACGTTTTAATACGCTTTTGTTAATGTTAATTTTCATTGTTTGCTACGTCCTTTCCGCATCCAAAAGTCTCAAACATTAGACAATTTTGACGCCAGAGTTGTGCATTTCATAATGCTCAAATAAGAAGTCCATACGAAAATTTCTCACGCGAACATTTTTATAATTACAGTGAAACTGTAAAAGAAATTGAAGTTAAATTATTTTGACCCGTCCAGGTTTTTTTTAGCGTCACGAAAACCAAATAATTACAGTTGATTCTAAAATACAGATTGACGTAGAAGCATCAAATTTAGCTCTCTTGTCGATACTCGAGCGGCTATTTCCGATTTATCTTTAACACTTTGATTGAACGTCACCTACATATGGATGGCTCAACTATTGTCTCAGATTTTTAAATGAATTTTTACGCTAATTTATTATATCTTCCTAATTTTGCTAAGATTCATGGAACTCAAGAATGTTGTCGTACAATTTAATTTTTCAGTTTTAATTTGTTAAGTAGGATACTTTGATTCTATGAAATTTTTATCAAAGTGGATAAAGCAATATTTTATTTTATCTGTTATCTGATAATAAATATATTCTTCGATATCTTTACACGCACAGAAATTTTGTAGAATTACATTTTAAAAGATATAATTATCTCGGTTTTCATGCTTGGAGGTTTATATCGTTCTGCCCCTGTGCCCTTAAATTATTAAACAGATTTACATTTAATACATACGATTTATGCAGCCAAAATTAATCCTTTTATAGGTCTCATTTATCTTTTTACGCTCCAAATTAATCCTTTTATGGGCCATATTCATAATTTTGCAAATCAGATTAACTCTTTTGCAGGTTTCATACCTCTTTTTATAAGTTAAATCGATGTTTGAATCAAATATCGAATATTGGATTTTTAAATGTAATTACACATAATTACAGATAAATGAATTTAATTTGGAAACGGGCGAATTGAATTTGCAAAACAGGCACCAATAATAATCAACGTACATAAATAACAAGTAAATAATTACTGCCGCCAAATTTACTAAAAATTAGGACATAAAAATAAAAATACAGTGGTGTGAATAATTATAGAAACAAAGTAACTTTTACATTTTTATTGACATTTAAACAATATCACTTTTGTATATTTCTAAATTAGAAATAGTAGAAAATATAAATGTACAAATATAGTTTTGTTTTTGTTTAAATATTATTAAGAATGTAAAACAGAAAAACTTAACAAACTATTATATTTGTATAATTATATGTTAGAAATAATAGAAATCAGAAACATACAAGTAGGATGTTTTGTCAAGTTTTCGTCGAGATATCAGTAACAACGTAAACGTTACTTTCAGTTTATAATAATGCACACCACCGCATGTGGTAAGATCATGAAGTATACTAGGTACAATGTCAATTGAACAATATAGAAAATGACGAATAACGCTGAACTCTGATTCCAGATCCGTTGGATGAACTTCAAAGAATACATAATTTGAATCTGGTTCCAGTGCTACGGTGCACATTACTGTCGTCGATGTGAACGAGTATGCGCCGCAATTCCTGCAACCAGCCTATGTCAGCACGGTGGACGAAGGTCGTTTGTACGAAGAAGTGGTCCGGGTCGAGGCGTCTGACAGAGACTGCACCCCTAAGTTCGGCGACGTATGCAAATACGAGATTCTGACTGCCGATCAGCCATTCATCATCGACAATGAAGGAGCCATCCGGAACACCGAGCCGCTGGATTACGAACGTTCGCACAATTACATCCTGAGCGTGGTGGCGTACGACTGTGGCATGAAACAGTCCGCTCCGGCCATGGTAACCGTTAAGGTCAACCGTGTCTGCGCGCCCGGTTGGAGAGGAATCCCGGAAAGGGTAGATTACGCTGCGGGCGTCGGTTCTCAACCGTTGCTGCCTTCCGCCAGGCTGGATCTCTGCGACGCTCCCTGTATATTGCGCAACGTCCGAGCTACATTAACCCTTGCTACCGACCATATAGGGAAAGGTTGCGACCGTGACACGTACGGCGTACGCAGCCAACGCAAGCTGTGCGGCGCTTCCCGCGACAGCGTGGACTTATTGCCGACACCTGGGCCTACCACTTCCTGGACAGCGTCTTTGTCCCGTGACGAAGGCAGGGAGGCGGACGAGATCTTCGAGTTCGATGGCGTCGATTCGGCTGCTATCGTGCCCAGCGACGTCCTCGAGCACACACTGGCCCAGAAATTCACCATCGGCGTATGGGTGAAACACCGTCCTCGTCCCAGACAAGATCCTCACGTGAAGGAACACATTCTTTGCGCGGCTGACGATCATAGTATGCTTCCACATTCTTTTCTTCTTGTCTCGCAAGAGGTAGCGACGGTGTTGGAAAACGCTTTTTGAAAAAGAATATCTAGATCTTGTAGCATGTGCTCAGGATTGAAAAGCTGTGACGATTTTCTCTAAACGAAATTTAAATTTTACTTTATTTATTTCCGCTGGAAAGTTGTATGCCTGTGATGCTGCAAGTTCCCAGTTGAAATGTTGTCGTACATATTTAAGTACATATTTTAAGTTAAAGATGTAATGGAAATGGTGGGATTTCTTAAAGCTCAATCCTCTTTTATATTTCTCAACTGCAGAGTAAAGTTGTAACTTTGTTTTTCTTCAAGAACCAAAAACCCCATTTTGAGGAAAACTGTAAAGATTTTTTTTTTTTAGTACTGAGTACACATTACAAGATTTAGATACTCTTTTTCCAAACACAATTTCCAAGAACGTCGGGTTTCCTTGTCAGTCTACAATTACTTGCCACTAACCACCGTCTCGAATTACAGAAATGAATAGACATCACTACGCCCTATTCATCAGAAACTGCAGACTGATTTTGCTACTCAGACGCGACTTCTCGGAAGGTGACCCGAACATCTTCCGGCCTGCCGAATGGCGATGGAAGCTTGGCCAAGTGTGCGACGACAAGTGGCATCACTATGCCGTCCAGGTCGATTTCCCGCATGTCACCCTGTACGTCGACGGAGAAGAATGGCGAACCGACGAAAAGAACCCGGAGGTGATCGACGACTGGCCGTTGCACCCCGCGAAGGGCGTTAACACGACCCTGGTCGTTGGCGCTTGCTGGCAAGGCTCTGACAACAAGACCAAACACCATTTCCGCGGATATCTTGCCGGTCTCTCGGTTCTGGTTGGGCGAAACGAGAAGCCGGACGTGTTGTCTTGCCTGCGCCGTTGCCAGGAAGGTATCCGCGTGCCGTCCATGGACCTGCTCCAACCGGGGACCCAATTGCTGGCTAATTCCGATCTGACCGAGGTACGAATCGATGGGGACAATCGCACTAACGTCGAAACGCTTCTCCGGCGTATCGGTTACTCGAACTCTAGACGCTTCCCGACCCCAGGCCGCCGTAATTTCCGCTTAGAAACGACAATTGTATGCGAAGGTAGCGAGAACAATCCGCTTCCGGTGCCGACCGTTCAATCGTACGTTACTGTCTTGCCGCCGCCGCGTCCGGGCATCACCGTGAACGGCACCGGTTACGTAGCTAGGGAGTACGCAGATTTCCGTTTAGGGGTACGAGTGTTCCCGGACGCTCGTGTCACCGCCGGTTCCGCGGCTAGGTTGGATGCGTGTGCCGTCAGCGTTTATCCGAGTCTGAACCCCGACCACGAAAGCTTAGGTCTGCCTGGCGACGCTCTGCGTAGATTCCATTCTATCACCGCGCGTGTCGACCGAGACGGCGTCGTTCTGTCGGGTGCGGACACGCCGTACAACTACCAGCAACTGATCCGCTTAATCATGTACACGAACCGCAAGCCGGCTTACTATCTCGATCGCGTCTTCAAGCTAACTTGCTCCGAGCTGAGCGGTCGGTTTGCAAGCAACGAGTACGTGCAAACGCTGGCCGTTATTCATCCGAAAGAGAAGACCACCGCTGTTCCTCACTCGACCCCGGACGAGCCACCCATCGCTAGAATCATGGAGCCGGTCGCTGGACACGCACAGTTGTCTCCTCATCACGCGGACCTGCCGGAGGAATACGCAACGACCGTGCTCCGCGAAGGGGCCAGAGGCTTCGGTGCTGGTGGTAGTCATGCCGTAACGATCGTCGTCGCCGCTTGTATCTGTTTCTTGCTGTTGATGGCGGTGGTCGGCGCCGCCAGGGTCAGGGGAGCCGCAAAACGACGACGATCCGCCGGCGATGAACTGGCTGCCGAAACCGAGATGGCCTGGGACGATTCCGCGCTCGCTATCACCGTGAATCCGATGGAGAGGCTCACGGAACACGATTCCCATCACCAGAATCAGAGAGACGAGGATGTCGATGATTCTGGAAGCTCCGACTCGGAAGACGGATCGTACAGAGACGATGACCTGGATAGCTCCGACTGCGAAAACGATTGCGAACTGAGCAACGGCCGGCATCGTGGCCACACTTCACCTCATGAATTGGAATGGGATCATCGTGATGTTTAAATTACTACCCTCCTCTGCATTCACCATCCCCTTTCTTTGTGTGGTGATTAAGTGGAGTACTAGCTCACCATTGCTTTCCATTGTTCCCGTTCGAATGGTCATTATTTTTTTCAATTTCTTTTCTCTCTGCCCCTCTCTATCTCCATCTATATCTCTCTCTCTTTCTCTCACTCTCCCTCTCTCGCAACGCTTCGCAATTCATATGAAAACGCATACGCTAGCCTACCAGCGAGCTTCGAATAAATTACACGAATCGTTCCAATACACCTTTCGCGGTAACGTTCGAACGTGGACGTTATCCTTTTAAAGATATTTCGATTTTTGATAAACCGATTCGATATTTTTATGCAACCGCGGAAGCGTAAAATCGTATTATAATATCCGTCCCCATACATAACATTGGCATCATGAAACGTAAATGCACCAACTAGTTAGTACTCTCCTTAACAGCCAGCAAAATTTGTAAGAGTGCGGGACGCTTTATCGAATAGTTAAACTCTTTGTATCTACGACATGTCGCTGATGTTGGTAGATGAAAGAAACACGTGAAAGAAAAGAAATTAAATACTTAACATTTACCGAGAAGTGTTTCTCGGTAAGTACGGAAAAGAATTAATTTATATTTGTCACTCATTACTACTAATTTTAATAATATTATTACAGCTGCTATTATTATTATTATTATTATTATTATTACTATTATTATTAATATTATTATTAATATTATTATTTTTATTTTTATTATTAGTAGTAGTAGCAGGACAAGGGAACCTTTTTATACTCTTAACTGTCTCTTTTGACATTTACTCTATGTTTATTCTATTCCACTATTTGCTATGGTAAATTTAACTAACGTCGACTATATTCGCTATCATTGATTGTAATTCTAATTGATGCGCAGGACGGCCCGATAAAACGTATTTGGAATTTTCGCAATGCTGATTTTAATCGAACTCGTTCTGTCTTACGTTTGAATGAATATCAAAGTCAACATTTGATCTCATAAATGTATATTTTTTAATTCGTGGCCAGACCGTGTCTCTCTTGTGTTGGAGAAACGTTCTCGCGACTAGTATTCAAAACGGAAACGGAGTAATTGGGAAGTATGTAAAAAAATCATTCTGGAACGGTACCGCGTGGGTCGGGCTGAACCTAGACCATGGTAATTCATACCTGCCCAGTTTTCACAATCTTTATTTTGTAAGTGAAAACCTGTAATAATTTGCACAATGTTCCTTCCTAATCAATCTATGAACTCTTAGCTCTTAGTGAGGACATTGCCGCGCATCTTATGATAGTGCTTCACCATTAAGTACGGTATAATATCATATCTGTATACATGTGTACGCATGCATATAGATTTGTATCCAAATCCGTCGCGTATACAGACTGTATGGAGTACATGTGTATGTGCATGAGACACGTGTACTTACATATACATACAGTGTCCGATCATTATTCTGTGGTGAGCAGCCATCTGCGCGACGAAACAGGAGTATTAAAAAACGCGACTATTCTAAATAATGCGCAGCGATCAACCTTTTCTGAGGTATCGTTTGTTATTTTGACTCGGAGAATAATTATTGTGCAATCACTCTTTTCATAGAGAAACTGATTTTTACGTGCCTTTATGCAAATTAGTCTGTTGAATTCNCTCTGCCCCTCTCTATCTCCATCTATATCTCTCTCTCTTTCTCTCACTCTCCCTCTCTCGCAACGCTTCGCAATTCATATGAAAACGCATACGCTAGCCTACCAGCGAGCTTCGAATAAATTACACGAATCGTTCCAATACACCTTTCGCGGTAACGTTCGAACGTGGACGTTATCCTTTTAAAGATATTTCGATTTTTGATAAACCGATTCGATATTTTTATGCAACCGCGGAAGCGTAAAATCGTATTATAATATCCGTCCCCATACATAACATTGGCATCATGAAACGTAAATGCACCAACTAGTTAGTACTCTCCTTAACAGCCAGCAAAATTTGTAAGAGTGCGGGACGCTTTATCGAATAGTTAAACTCTTTGTATCTACGACATGTCGCTGATGTTGGTAGATGAAAGAAACACGTGAAAGAAAAGAAATTAAATACTTAACATTTACCGAGAAGTGTTTCTCGGTAAGTACGGAAAAGAATTAATTTATATTTGTCACTCATTACTACTAATTTTAATAATATTATTACAGCTGCTATTATTATTATTATTATTATTATTATTACTATTATTATTAATATTATTATTAATATTATTATTTTTATTTTTATTATTAGTAGTAGTAGCAGGACAAGGGAACCTTTTTATACTCTTAACTGTCTCTTTTGACATTTACTCTATGTTTATTCTATTCCACTATTTGCTATGGTAAATTTAACTAACGTCGACTATATTCGCTATCATTGATTGTAATTCTAATTGATGCGCAGGACGGCCCGATAAAACGTATTTGGAATTTTCGCAATGCTGATTTTAATCGAACTCGTTCTGTCTTACGTTTGAATGAATATCAAAGTCAACATTTGATCTCATAAATGTATATTTTTTAATTCGTGGCCAGACCGTGTCTCTCTTGTGTTGGAGAAACGTTCTCGCGACTAGTATTCAAAACGGAAACGGAGTAATTGGGAAGTATGTAAAAAAATCATTCTGGAACGGTACCGCGTGGGTCGGGCTGAACCTAGACCATGGTAATTCATACCTGCCCAGTTTTCACAATCTTTATTTTGTAAGTGAAAACCTGTAATAATTTGCACAATGTTCCTTCCTAATCAATCTATGAACTCTTAGCTCTTAGTGAGGACATTGCCGCGCATCTTATGATAGTGCTTCACCATTAAGTACGGTATAATATCATATCTGTATACATGTGTACGCATGCATATAGATTTGTATCCAAATCCGTCGCGTATACAGACTGTATGGAGTACATGTGTATGTGCATGAGACACGTGTACTTACATATACATACAGTGTCCGATCATTATTCTGTGGTGAGCAGCCATCTGCGCGACGAAACAGGAGTATTAAAAAACGCGACTATTCTAAATAATGCGCAGCGATCAACCTTTTCTGAGGTATCGTTTGTTATTTTGACTCGGAGAATAATTATTGTGCAATCACTCTTTTCATAGAGAAACTGATTTTTACGTGCCTTTATGCAAATTAGTCTGTTGAATTCTACTCTATATTTTAATAGCGAAACTCGAAAGCTGATTTCCCATCAGTAATCTCGCATGTTAGACGTATCGCCCGGTAAGCTCTCGGAAGCAACTGCTCTACTGTTGTTGTATTTTAAACATTACTGTTAGAAATGGCATAGGTGTTAAGCGACGAGCGCATAGAGATATCGGTGATAATTAACCGGCCGATTCGCGAGCCGACGGTAATTTACAGTCCGATTCGATTCGATTTCACCGTCTCACTCTCATAGACGACGCGGACTTAAAAAATCGCTCGACGACCGAAAAAACGCCGCGAACACGTGCAATGGATCCGGCAGGATAATTCAAAGTCTCGATGGACGATCTCGTAATTGACTGCGCATTTGTACTCGCTACGAAGTAATGAAAGGATCTTGTGTATGTATTTATGTATTTAGAGTTATACCGACCGATCGAATATTTAGTACTGAAAGTTTGTGTACGAATATCTATATTCATAGAAACTATATGAACAATTTATTTTTCCAACGAGCATATCATATCATTTTTATAAGGGATTTGTCGGAAGTTTGAAAACTTTTCGTAAAGAGCTCCTACATAGCTACACGCTATCGTGATGTTACTTGCCATAATCGCGACTTATTTTTCTCATCCCCTCTTCGACGAATGATTATTTCATTGTTTCTTCTGGCGTTCGAACACGCAGGTGCGCACGCTATCTTTACACGTTTTATAAGCTCGGATTCAAGGAGAGAAACGCGAACGGCGCTTCGAGCGTTTGATACTGTCGCTGAACAAAAACAGACGGGCAAACGGAACAAATAAAAAAGAAGAAAAAAAAGAAAGCAAAGAAAAGATGCGAACGCTCGCTATAAAATGATGCGCGAAAGAAACTTCTATACGTATGTATATCGCTGACATTATCTCTGTTTTCGTTGTCCGATGCATTCAGACGATGCACACATCTCGATTGGTTCGTTATCTTCCACGCGACTAGACCATGTAAGACACACAGAAAAAGAAAACCACGACTCTCGAATCTCTAATTTGATCTTATTATACTCTTCGCTTCACGGTTTTTGCGGCGTTAAGTTCACTCCTCGGGAAAAAAGAGAAAAGAAAAAAAAATACAGAGCTATCGACTGGACCGTTCAACACAGATTTTACTTATGTACAGTGGAACACTCGGGAAAACGATCCTATATACAATGAAGACAAATGGTTTCAATCATTTCACGGGAGAGTAGCCCGCACATATTTGCCAGAGACCAGGAAAATCCGTTCCGAATGAACCTTGTGAGCATTCATCCGACAGCGAAATTTCGATTCTATTCGATACATTCCTCCACGATCGCACAATACCGCCAGATCCTTTCTTGAGTCTTTTACACGGCATAAGTATGATATCTAAAAATACTGCACAAAAGAAAAAAAACGAGGAACGCTGTGGCTTAGCAGAGCGTCGGAGATTGTGCGCGGCGAACATGAATCGCGGTGGATTCTGTGTCGGAAGTCGTCCCCGACGAGGACACACTCGGAACCGGCGCGGCGCGATGATCGCGCGGCGAGAAGGAAGCGTTCTTTTGTTGCTCGGTCTAACGAGTCGTTTGGATGGAAGATGTCAAGGAGCCTTCTCTCTCGTCTGGTAACGACGATATATCCGTGAAACAGAAACGAAGGAACGACGGAGAACAAGGAAGGATGGAAGGGAAGAACAGAACAGAAACAGAAACAGAAGGGAAAGCGACACACCGCTACAACCTAACTAGGTGTACACATTTGCTCTAAAGATGTACTTAATTATTAATTATGGGAAAGAAAAGAACTACGCAGAACAAATCCAACTAGATTATACTATTATAATATATATTATACATAAAAATATATCTAAGCTGTTTGCAAATGATGAATATAAAAAGAAAATGAAAAGAAACAGAGAAGAGAAGGTATGAATTTGTAATGTACTATTGTATTTTGTAGGCAGCTAGCGTACGTATACATATGCACATGTACCCGTGTATGTATGTATGTTTACGTATATAAATATACATACTCTTCGACATTTACACGTACCGTTCGCCTAAATAGTCAGCAGAATACATATTTTGAATTTTACCACAGCGCGGGCCGCGTCGAACCGCGGGAACGGCGTGTTCGCGATCATGTTGGGTCGCGCGTGACCCGGAAGTGGTCGCGAACCCCCCGGTCCCCGTGAGAGGGGCTCGGTTTTTCGAACTCTGTTAGGGCACCTGGGGCGCGACAGGACAGGATGATACACACGAATACGTTCACCACCGATCCGTAAAGAAATGCGCGGTACGTAAAATATCTCGTGTTCCTTTGAAATAAGATAACGAAAAAGGAAAACGAGAATCGCCTGAGAAATGTGCGCGCGTAAGTGCGTGCGTAGTCACGTGTCTGGGTTGATTCGACGTTCTAAGAGATGGAAAGTGTGGGAAACGAGGAAGCCGATCCTACGGTGACGTTGTAATGAATGAAATAAATCAACTACCGACTAGCTAGGCCGTAAACGACAGATTACGAGCCGACTAAATTCCCTCCCATCGCAGATTGATTGTGTGTTAACTAATAAGATTAAGTAATTGATATAGTACAGTTAAGGAATTTAATTAATATGAATAACGATACTATCAGTACGCTAAGCACGTTTCAGAAGTCGTAACGTGGAGGTGGTATAGCTAAGGAGATGGTGTTTACGACACGGATGTCTGTATTTTTTGTTTCTTCTTCGTTTTCGGCGCAAACGTGACACACTGAGTTGCTCGGCGCGTCTGCACGGGACGCACAGAAACGTCAAATTACCTTGTTACTCCGCAACTGAAGAATCGTTCGACAAAAGAAATATTAGCAATAGACTATATACACGTGACATACACACAGAAGACACTGAACACGCGGCCGCATATACACGCTGCACAGGCTAGGAAAGTGAAATACTATCTATAACGACATATTATAAATAACATTAAGACGTCAACTGTATTTGTTTAATAAAGATGTACATTCGAAAAAGCGAATTCACTGTTTTTCTGCACTCAGCGGGGGGGGGGGGGTACAATTAGGTTTGAAACCTTCGTCTAGGTCTAATCCGACCGCAAATAAAAAGTGCAACGTTGGGGTCACGTATGACCCCAGTATACCAATAGTAAATGGTTCATTTGTACGAAAATTGGTTAAAGTAGCTTTCAAATCATCAAGTTCTGTCAGTTTTTTATGCCGACTTAGCTTATCATTAATCATTAACGTTTTGACGCGGAGCAAAAAATTAAAGTTTTGAGGCTTTGAATGAAAAAACTGATTTATTGAAATATTGATAATCTACTGTGGTCGAAACATTTTATAAATATCGAGATAAATGATAATCAGTTGGTGCAAATCAGTAAGGTGGGTAACGTACATGTTTTTAATTACAGCTTTAAATTTTTGTTACAGTTGCCTTTGTTGTGTATAATCTAGCATTTACGTGGTGGAGTGAATTCCTTTCCCATTTACTGATGAAGGGCTTCTTTCACGTAGGGCTGCATATAATCGATAGCTATTGATTATAATACAATGGCTGCTGCCAGTTGACCTCCATTTAAAAAGTTTTTAGTGAATTGCCCCTCTAATATTTTACTATATGCCAATAGAACCTTTCAAAGATGAAGTTCCGTTCAGCAGTATAATATTCTTTTTGGATAGAATGATAACACGTGATAGTTATAAATTGTTACATATTACCGTTCCCAAATTTCGAAATTTTCCAATTTGTTGTCAATATATATTATCGCTGATAATTTTTTATCTGTTAATATTTTGTCAGCAAATGTTATCATGGAAACTCTGACATTTTCTTATAATTAAAATATGATCCTCATACGCGTCACAAACATTTATAACAGCTATTATTTTTTTCTAAGTGTATTAACCACGAATTCGTTAATTCAATTATTTTCGTAAAAATTGTGTTCTTCATATTTATTTGGAAATATTCAGCGACTGTATGGTACGTATCAGATAAAAGAGAATTTTTTATTGCAAAATCACATACATACATTTTAGGTATCGCAAAATAACGGAACCTTATTCTTGTGGCTCAAAGTCGAAATAGACCCGAGACCTGCCATCCAAGGGATAAAGTAGATAGAATAGTTCTAAACGTGTTGAGTGCACGTTTTAAACTGTCAGGAGAATTCTTCTGAAAGATATAAAGAAAAGTTCCTATAAACAAGGTGTGGTCTAAGTGCGATAAGATATGATGGGATTGCCTAATAGTCTTCGAAATTAAGATAAGGAACATACCTGGTTGAAACTTTTGGAAAACACTGGTGCTAGAAGAACGTTGCTAATGATAGAATTGTCCATTTATCCAATCTTTTTGAAATAATACAAAAAATGCAACATAACTTTGTTCATTTTTGTGGTGATAATTTGTATTAATTTGTTTGAAAGAAATTAGTTA